TTAATGCAGTGAGTGTTTTTCTTCTCTAAATTTAAAGTTAGTATCTGCAGATGGAATTGTATCTACAACCAAATGCCTCTTATTCCTGAATTCAGAGTGATCCTTTTTAAGTGTGAAATTTGATTATGTGGGTTTCCCCTGCCAGAATAGAATCACTTTACCTTAAAGTCTAGCTAGGGTCCCACTATCTGTCATGTTCTCTTGTAGTGGATGTTTCCACCTCCTTCTCTAACCTCCAACCTACGATTTGTGTATTTTATAGTAGATGCAGTGGAACCACAGCCCTAAAGTCCTGCTGTTTAAAGTCTTTCTGTTTTAATTGTACAAAAGCATCTACTCTTGGCCACATTAGCCACAAAGCAAGATCAGATTAATTCAGAAATCTGAAACTAATGATTTTGTTTTGTTTGAATCCTCAGAAAATCAAAGAAAAATTACAATGGGGAGGAGAAAGTGGCTGATCATTGTACTCTTTGGTTTTCTCATTTTAATTTTTAAAGACTACTTCACAAGGTGCATTTTCTGCAGAAGCTAACATGACACATCTTAGGAATCTTATGTTGGTGGGAATCTGATTCTGGTTCCTTTTTAGAAATGAGTTGGGGAGCATACAGGCACAGAAGGATAGATATTTGAAATCTTTGGTTCTGAAGTTTTTTTAATGACCCCCGACTCATTGTTTACTGCCTTTTGTCATGGAGACCTTAAAATAATTTCCCTTAGAAATAGAATTACTTCATTACTGCTTCTACAGCCAATTTAGTTTACTGTTTTTAGTAATTCATTCATCTTTGGAAATTGAGATTTCACATTGTCTCATTTTAATTTTTTAAGCCCTTTTATCATCTCTGAAATCTTTCTGTTCTGCTTGGTTCTGGTTGTACTTGGAATCAAATTGATTATTTGTGATCATGCCTGAAACAGCTTGGCCTTGGAGAGGTGGGCCTTCTATTTTCAGCCTAATAACAGTGTCTCATTGCACATGCACATGCTCTTTGAAGCATTTAAGTGTTTAAAGTTGAATAAATGAAGAAGATCAAGAATGTTGTTGGAACTTCAAAGTCTCAAAAGGAAATGATGGGGACACGTAACCACTGTCAGCGCACCATAGAGGGTAACAGGGGACACCATTTTTCTGGTCACATCAGCCCTTCATAGTTTGGAATGATTAGAACAAAAAGGACACTCTTTGGTGAGTCTCTTTCTTGACTAGGAGTCTTTCCTCAGTTTTTGTTGACTATCATACCGGTTTTGGGGGTGAGGAAAGGGGTTAGAGATATCTTTGTACTTTGGCAGAGGATAAAGGAATAGGGGAGGGAAGAAAGAAAGTGGGAGAGTGGCTTGCTGAATTAACAGCCTGCCTCTAAAATTGTGACCATAAGGTATGATTCATGTTGGCACCAGAGAGAATAAAGGATGTTTTCTCCTCTGCCTCTCATGTTATACCTCCACAGAGATTGTTTCTTAGAAGGTGAGCTATTTACTGTGGGTATTGATGTGTAGCCCAAAACTACACATTGGTTTTGAGTGGGAGTGGGGGTGGAGTGAGATCAAGAAGCTTGGGAGGAGTGAGAGGTATATTCTGAATATTTAGTGGCCACTACATAAATGGAGAAAAGCCGTGCTGAAGTTGGAGCACATTATAGTTTTCAAGTAGAAGAGTGTCTACTGTCTCAGAAGATTATGACAGCTGGAAATTATTCCCTCCCTGTTAGAGTCTGGAGATGTCAGGACAAACGGTTGTATTTTTACTACAACTAGAAAGCTAGAGAACTAGAACAGATCTGAATAGCTTCACAAAAGGTCAGAAGCAAAGTACTAGATAGGGAGTTACCTTTTCAATACACAGAATGGCAAATAGTGTCAGTCTCAGTTATCTGAAATTTTCTTCACTTTTTTGTGCTCTAATAGAGGATATGAGGCTCCTTTTGCTGTTTCCTGTACCCTTTCCACATAATGATTCTATAGTGTTTCTTCCTAGGAGGCATCTTGGGAGTTCCAGGTTTTAATTTAAGTTAAAGGATATAGTAGGGTTCTCCAGAGAAACAGAATCCATAAGGCAATAAGGTGTGTGTGTGTGTGTGTGTGTGTGTGTGTGTGTGTGTGTGTGAGAGAGAGAGAGAGAGAGAGAGAGAGAGAGAGAGAGAGAGAGTGAGTCTGTGTAAAGAGACTTACTATAAGGAATTAACTTGTGTTATTACGGAGGCTAAGAAGTTTCAAGATTTTTCAGTCAACCAGTCAGTAGAGCTTTATGGTGTAGTTTTAGTCTGATTCCAAAGGCCTGAGCACTAGGAGAGCCAATGGTATAAATTCCAATCCAAAAACTGGTAGAAGTTTTGAGACCCAAGAAAAACCAGTATTTTAAAAAAATATATTTTATTTATTTGAGTGAGAAAGAGAGCATTAGAGAGCAGGAGAAGCAGACTCCCCACTGAGCAGAAGGCCAGATGCAAGGCTTGATCCCAGGACCCTGGGACCATGACCTCAGCCAAAGGCAGATGCTTAACTGACTGAGACAGCCAGGTGCCCTGAAAAGCCAGTGTTTTAGTTTGAGTCCAAAGGCAAGAAAAGACCAATGTCCTAACTCAGCCTGGCAAAAGGAGTTCTCCCTTGGTAGCTGGAGTGTCATATTTTTTCCTAGTTGGGCTTTTACCTGATTGGATGAGGCCCACTGACATTGTGGAAAGCAATCTGCTCTAATTTGTCTACCTATTCAGATGTTAATCTTATCAAACATATCCTCATATCACAGACATCTAGAATAATCTGTGACCAAATATTTAGGTACTCCTTAGTCCAGCCAAGTTGACACATAAAATTAACCAATACAGGAGAAGAAATAGAAATGCACACAGCAGAGTGATACCCAATTCCACTTAAGTTTTGCCAAATAAACAGTGTGTCTCTATGAGAAATGTCTGCTCTGCTTAGAGACCTTAGTACTAGGGTTAAAGTGTTGGAGAAATGTATATGGGAACGAGGTCCAATTTGCTGTGTGGAATATACCTATTTTTCTTCTTTAATTAACCTAAATTAACCTGGAAGTCTGAGATGCCTCCCATTCTAGGAAGAAACATTGCAGATTCATTGACCTAACGCCAGAACATGGCTGAGTTTATTTCTAGGAATGTCTTGCTTTTAAATGTTTCAAACAGTTTTAGATTTAGTGCTCAAGGCAGAGGGCTGCATAGCCTGGATTTTTTCAGGTGTTCATTCCTTGAACACCTTCCTTCCTTGGAAGGTTTACAGACGCAGGAATCTGGAGCCTTAACAGGATTCAAAAGAGAGATGATTTAACTCTCCCTGATTGTCAAAGAGGATAAGAAACAATTGCAATTTCAGATCTTGAGCCTTTATACTTGAGGCCTTTACATTCAAATTAAAAGGCCTTTGGGTATGCAGAGCTAAACAGATTTCTTTCTTTCTTTCTTTCTTTCTTTCTTTCTTTCTTTCTTTCTTTCTTTCTTTCTTTCTTTCTTTCTTTTTCTTCTCTCTCTTTTTTTTTTACAGAAAGAGCACACACATAGGAGCAGGGGTAGGAACAGAGGGAGAGGGAGATAGAGACCTCTCAAGCAGGCATGCAGCGTGAAGCCCAATGTGGGGCTAAATCTCATGACCCTGAGATCATAACCTGAGCTGAAATCAAGAGTTGGGCACTTAACTGAATGAACCACCCGGATTCCCCAACAGATTGTTTTCTTATTCATGAATGTCTTGTCTTATCTTCCCTTTGTCCACTATAATTTGAAATTAGAGGGAAGAAAACTATTTTGTTAGCATATAACTAGGAGAGACCTCCTAGAGATTGGTAAATTCAGAAGTTGGGGAAAGTGATAGAGGGCAACTTGTTGCTGGCTTCCAAGTGACGATTGCTTCTCAGGTAGTTTCAGATTAGTCTAACTCAGGTTCATATGGGTAATCCAGCTGGACAGACTGGGGTATTGGGTGGAAAGAACAGAGTGGTGAAGCTGAGATCTCCAACATCTTTAAAATTTCTAAGCTACTCAATTGGGAGCAGAGAGAAAGAATAATTCTGGCCTTAAAAATTCATTTTCCCTCAAAGTTCCTACTGCCAGTTCTCTGAAAAGCTGGGAAACCTGGAAAATCCAAAATGGCATTTTGTCCCTGTTGCTGTAGCTCCTGGACTTTTCCTTACAATGTTCTAATTTGTAAGAAAAAGGAATTACTCTAGATAGGAGATGTGGGGATTGCTATAAATTAAGTAGCTTCCTTAGCTTACTATAAATATTAGTTGTCAACATTTTCAACAGTTGAGCAAGTGCTTATTAGTTGTTTTCTTTGAACAGTACTCTCATTGGTCCAATAATTAATTTTCAAGTTAGAAGAAAGTTTTCTGGGGAAGAAATTGTTTCTTTTTCCTAACAGCTCTCACTTTGGTTTAATAGCTAATAGGAGAAAAAAATTCCCGTTGTGTCTTTGTATTCCACATTCATGTGTGTGAATATGTATGTGTCCAGGGACACAACACATATGCATATTTCACAGTAGAGGAAGAAAGATATAGTAGCCGCTGAGATGAAGTTAGTAGGTACAGCAGAGGGCTGGAGTCTCAGTCTGAGTCTCTTACTGTATATACCTCAGACACTTATGTTTCCATAATTGTCTGCTATGGGGCATTGTTGGCTTTGCTGCCAACTAGACACCCTGCTATATGGTGTGTGGCTAAGGGATTCACTGGAGGTAAAAGCCTAGTCATTTCTAAGTGTTGAGAAAAAAAATGGCTTTGAGGATAGCCATCATCCTCTGCTTTTGTAGTATAATTAGTTGAACATAAATACAACTATGTATTGCTTTTTAATTTTTTTATAAATTATTATCAAATTAACTTCTCTCTTGACCTGCATGTTTCATTTTCTTTCACTCTAGTGTCTACATGCTCTTTCCTCAAGGAATACAAATTAAATATATCAGTCTTAAAAACGAATGAGGAGGGAATCATAATTTGTATCTGTTTTAAACAATAGCGGAACAGCCTTTGGGGCTTTTGGAAGGGAGGAGCTCTTCAGAGTTGGTTTTTAGAGCTGATCTAGGCAGGCCACTGACATTTGTGAAGGAAGACAGATTTTAGGAGAAGGAGGAGCAGGGGTGATACCACTCTTGATCTCAGGGTCATGAGTTTGAGATTACTTAAAAAAAGAAAAACTTATTTAAAAAAAAAAAGCATTCCTGAAATCACAGCAGCTTTTTGTTATGCATTTTTTTATCCAAAGGTACCAAAAATACAACTATCATCTTGTGAGAGGTCTAATAATTATATATAAATATATATGTGTATAATCAAATATTATATGTATATAATCTAAAAGTGGAATGCCTATAATTCCACTTATCTAGAAAATATGTAAATAGATAATTGTATTTATGTTCAACTAATGATACCACAGAAGCAGATAGTAGCATGAGAGGGAAAGCCCTCTTTAGTCTCTGAGATGGGGAGATTGGAAGATAAAAGTGCTGTTCATCAGAATAATCCAAAAAAGATTTGGTTTATTCTGATGAATAACCAAACCATCAGAGTTTGGTGAGTGTACTCTTAATGAGAGTTTCCAGAATGAGTCTCACATAAGTTCTGAGGCAGGAAGTTAAGAGAACATATCCCAAGTGGCCATCCTGTGGGCTGAAATTGTAGGAAACAGTAATGTCAGCATCTTAGCACCCAGGCTGGGAACCACAGGACTGCTCCAGGGGTTTAAAGTACAATGTATAGAATACAGTGTGTACAACTGGAGATATTATCTAGGATCCAGGTAGATCCCTTTTTTTAACCAAAGGACATGAGGTTTTGATCTCTCATACCTGCCAGATATATGGAATTATAGGCATTCAACTGTAAGATTATATGCATATAAACTTTATGAAGTTTTGCCAAATTGCACTTAGTTGGTGTCTACAGAAGTAGAATCTGCGTTTGTTGTCTTTCTTCTTTCAGCTGGATATCTGTGACTCATGGGATGTAGGCGTGTGGTCCTTTACTTTTTCTAATAAGGTGTACTGTTTTCAAGGTGCAAAAATTACTAGACTCCTCACAATAGGATGATAGGTATATTTTTAGTATCTTTTGATGAAAAAATACACAACAGAAAGCTGCTGTGATTTCAGGAATTTTTTTTTTAAGTGATCTCTACACCCCACCTGGAGCTCAAGAACTCATGATCCCAAGATCACGAGTCACATGCTTTTCCAAATTAGCCAGCTAGGCATCCTTCAGTAATGCTTTTAAATCAATTTGTCTTTATCCAGGAACACCATAATCTGCATCCAGCTGAAATATAGCATATAAATATTTGTAAGAAATATTGCTATATTTATTTAGATTAACAATAGTGCTTATACAAATTCCTTGTGATAACTCCGTGCCACAGAGGTTCAAATTCCGTGCGTGAGTTGTGTATCACTCATATGGGTTAAGGTTAAGACATGTGTTCAGAAAACTTACCTGCATGGAAATTTGTAGGCTTATTTGAAATCAGTGGTATCAATAATTTTTAAAGCCGGGATATAAGTATTTCACATTTCTGCTTAACCAAGTCTTGAGATAAGCAGAATACATAAAACAAATTCTTTAGAAATGGGACTTCTGACTAACTGTTGCTTTGTTTATTCTGCTTAGTTCAAGTCAGAGCTAATAGTCTAATGCTCTTGAATGTCTTAATAAGCTTGAACAGTGATCATGTATCCTTTTGCAAATTTTTATGTGTGGACTATAATTAGTGTAGCACAATGGACGAAACCTTTTCTATAGTAGGATGTGGCTTCTTTGTGAGACTTCCAGTGATTGTGTAATGTTGAGAAATTTCAGAAGATTCTTTGAATAGTAAAAAGCAAAAGACATCTCCACCCATATGAGCTTAAAATTTAGTTGGATACATAAAACAGAGAAAGATTAAAGTGAACATAATTTAATGGAGAAAGCTTTGGAGACTTTGGAGTCGGAATTCAAATGGCTGTGGGTTTAAAATCTAGAGTCTTAGATTGGATCCTTAGAGTGACCCTGGGGAAACAGAAGATAGAGTAGTCAAGATACCATTTAAAGATAAGTAGACAGAAACACCATCTCAAAACTTAATTTGTCCAAGGACACAGAACTGAATCCATGTTTTTTGAGTCTATACCTAGTCTTTTTTTACCCCCATAAGGCAGAAAACCCAAAAAGTCCTTAGTTTGAGGGTCAGTGCCATCACTAATAGGGGTCTAACCCATCTTTTTCAGCCTTTTCTCTCTCTCTTCCCACAAACCTTAGCTCCCACATTTGGCAGGTTCTGGCCAAGTATCACAGGTAAGGTGTCTGTTTCTTTTGATGGCTTGCCCTTTAGGTGCAGTTAAATTGTGGTCTTCTTTATTCATGTAGTTCCCCTGCTGCCTGCATTTCACTATGACAAGAGGTCATCTGTCCAAATAGAAAGAAGAGGATTTATGAATTTAGGAGAAAAGTAAAGGCTGCAAATACCGCCCTGGCCATTTATTTAAAAGGAAAGAGATATGGCCAAAGAGGCTGACAAGTACTTGGTTGAAGCTGATTATGCTCTGTGGTGCACCTGGGCACACAGAGCTTCCTCTTTATCCAGATGTTGTGAGGATGCTCTTGAATGCCAAGGTCTCTCCATTTCTTCATTTTCTTTCTTTCTTTCTAAAGATTTTATTTATTCGTGAGAGACACAGAGAGCGAGAGAGAGGCAGAGACACAGGCAGAGGGGGAGAAGCAGGCTCCATGCAGGGAGCCCGATGTGGGACTCGATCCTGGGTCTCCAGGATCACGCCCTGGGCCGAAGGCAAGCGCTAAACTGCTGCTCCACCCAGGGATCCCCATTTCTTCATTTTCATGCCAGGTCAGTCACTGGCTCTGGCTGTCTTTTCTTAGCATACCTATCTTTGCTGGTTTCTTCTCTCTTCTTTATAATGTTAAATAAAAATTTCTTCCAAAAAAATTGGTGTTCTTATTTTGTTTGGCTTTATTTTACTGTGTGGGGGAGGAGGGGGAAAACTTTTTCTTGGGTACAAAAACACATACTTATCCAATATTTGAATGAGAACTGTCCACCAGCCACTTTTGTGAAAAGCAGGTTTGTTTGTTTGTTTGTTTTTTCCCCAACTGGTGACAGAGGTGAGAAGGACAGGCTTGCTGTGGCAGTGAGAAGGAGAGTTCAAGGAATACATTCATTTGTCCCACCTTATATTCCCCAGATTCTTGGCATATTTAGCATCTCTTCCTCTGTGCTGTTTTCTTCTCTGTGTATGTTGTAATGTGAAAGGTAGCAAGCTAAAGAGTCAAGTTTATCTTGCTGTAACTTTTCTTTAAAGTTCTGGCACAAGGCTTACAAAAGCTGTAGAAAGAAAAAGGAAAGTTGTATTACTGCCATACAATTTAGATACCTGATGTAATTCGTCATTTGACCCTGATGACTAGGGAGGGAATGGGGAAAAGGAAGGGGTTGTATGAGTTGTATCTTACTGCTAAAGTTGCAGTTGTGACCTCTAGCAAATCTGACTGGTCCTGGTGGAAGAGGGGAGGAAGGGAAGCCAACCTTTGTTGTCTTCTTGTGGGAAGGTAGGACAATCAAACAAGAAAGAGATGCCATCCAAAACATTCCAGGTAGATTTTCCATGTGTAGCACTGGAGGCTGACACAGTGATAGGACAAGGGTACTCACTCAAGGTGCTTTCATGAGCTGAGGGAAGCCCAGAGAACCAGGAAACTCCCTCATCCTTTTGATCACCTGTAAGCATCATAACTTGATCTACGTGATCTCTTTGTGCCTGACAAAATGTGTCACCTTTTGTTCTACTGAACATTACCTCTTTCATAGTTCTGCTAAGCCTGGAGTTGGGGGGAGAAGGATAAAAAGCATCAACTATCAAAAGTTCATTCTCTTCACCTGATTGGAAAGGGGAAAGAGCTGAGGAATTTTTTTTGCTCTCGCATAACTTGGGAGTCAGGTAGTAAGTGGTCAGATTGCATGGTTAGACTCAATTTCCTTTTCAGAGTTGTTATTTCTCTATGAAGAAATACAATTTATTTTTCTAACAGAGTAGCTAACCATCTGAGGGAATTTAGATTCAATAAATAATTAGGTCTAAAGGGTCAGACTGCTTGGTATTAACCAGTTTCCTCCTGACAACTATTATAGGCTTACATGTGGCAGGTTTTGCCAAGGATCACAAATAAGGTCTGTTTTCTTTTGATTGTTTGCAGTTAAGAAAGAGGCTGCAATAAGGGAGTGTCAGGTGGTCCTGTTTCTGGAAAGGGGAGGAAGCAATCTCATGGGGAGGGTAGTGAAGAGGTTGAAAGAAAGGGTACTTAGCAGATAGTAGGTAATTACTGAGAGCAGACAGTTTGGAGTGAGAAGGTCCTGTGTTATTTCCTGTGAACTGGAGCAGCATGTAAGCTCTTTGTGCTTGTTTCCTGATGAGTAATCAGGAATGTTTCTCTGGAAGGATTATATAGGGTTAGAATCACCATATGTAAAACCTAGCCCATCATACAAATTCTATAATAAATTTATTAAGAGCTTAAAAGAACTTACTATGTGCCTGTTGGGGTAAATGAGACAAAGCCCCTGCATTTATAGAGCTTACATTCTGGTGGCATGCAAACAGTGGTGGTTATTGATTAGAGGAAAGCTTAAAAAATGGAATTAATACCAAGGACAGGTAAAAAGCTGCATTAGTTACTGATTATGCAAAAATGTAGTGGCAAATCATTGTAAGTTCAATCTCTTTGTTATCTATTAGGGAAAACCATGATCTATATTAATACTCAGAGGACTCACCTACAAGTGTTTCTACTCAATCTGACCATCACCCTTTGCCCAGGAGTTGCATTTTTAAAACCCACCTCCAGACTTTGTCTCTTGCCTTGTTCATCTTCATGTAATAGGCAAACATCTGTTACCCAGTGAGTAGAGGCAGCTGTATTTATTTGCCTCTTCTAAAAGCTTTCTTTCCTAATAGGTCTAACCTCCATATCCAGTAGAAATGTGTTTCATCCATCTTCCTCTAGTTAGTATAAATTCTCAAATCCCTTTGGACCAGCCCTGCCCTCATGTTGATTTAATGTTTTCCTGTAGACAGCCAGGGCTCGAACAGCACTTCAGTCTCCCACTCCAGGCCTCCATTCTACCCCTCTCTTCCTGAAGGATAATCAAGATGACAGAGGTGTAGTAGCCTCATTGCCTGGGGTGCTTAAGTGTCTTCTGAACGTACCTTGAAGGGCCACTAGGCTGGTGACCAGCATCACCCAGACTTTTTCTTGCAGGAAGCCTGAACTGAGAGTGCCTTTATTGTGATTGAACTCGGGCTGTCCTGTATGTTTCAGTCCTTCCTCTGTGTAGTTCCCTGTCTCTGGGTCAAAAGAGAATCAATTGATCAGAGGAGGGTTTCAGAAATCATAACACTTCCTTTTGCATCATCTCAGAACACCTTTTTTGATATCCAGGGATAGCTCTCAGCACAATTTATTGTCCAAGTATTTTTTACATTTATGGATAGTGATGATGAGGTACTTAAGCAGCAAAAAATATTTAAAGAATCTGTGTGTCATGCTGGAGATGCAAGCAGGCCTACCTTGAGGGAACATTAAAGTCTTGTTAGAGAGACAGCTGAAACGGTCACTTCAGACTTGGGTGCCCCCTCATTTAAAAACCATCTTCTGGAGTGTGTCAAGTTTAGCATTAGTTAAAATCTCAGGCTTTAGGTGCACCTGGGTGGCTCAGTGGTTGAACATCTGCCTTTGGCTCAGGTCCTGATCCCGGGGTCCTAGGATCAAGTCCCACACCAGGTACCCCATGGGGAGACTGCTTCTCCCTCTGCTTGCATCTCTGGGTCTCTCATGAATAAATAAATAAAATCTAAAAAAAAAAACCCAACAGCAACAACAACTTCAGGCTTTGGATTTTTATACACCATTTACTAGCTGAATAAACTTACCCCAAATTACCTTAGAGCTAACTTTTCACTTGACAACAACGGCGGCAACCTCAAAAAGGCCATGAAGATGAAATTATATATCATTGAGCACAATACTTGGCACACGGTAAGCACTTAGTAAATGGTAGACGTTTACTGGTATTATATGTTACCTGTCCGGCTTTGTTAGTTTCATCTTCCAAGAGGAGACTTGTCATCTCTGCATTTGGTGAGCATCCATATATGTTGACTCTAATACTTAAATATACTGAGAGGATGAGATAGGAATTTTAGGGAGAGCCATCACAAGTAGAAATGCTTAGGGCATATTAAGAGAACGTGATTAGATTATAGACTATGTATAGATTAGCTTATAAGGAGTAAGGGTTTTACTGCTCCGCCCGTTCTATTCTCCAGGTTTAGGACTGTGCCTATGGCATGCACAATCAATATAAGAAGTGTGAGAAGAATGATAGAAGAGTTTCCACTGGTGAGATCAACTGAAAACAGTATTCACATAAATGGAATTTAATTTTATAGAGCTTCTCATGCTCGGCAAAAGCAATTTAGTTAGACTGTCCCATAGTGAAAAGCCTTTAAAATTAAATGGTGGTGTGGCATGTACAAAGTAGCATTTTAGAAAGAGGTCAGGTGGCTTCTTGGTTTGGAGAAATAATATTTAGAGTTGATGGATCATTTTTAAGGCAACAGCTCAGTGCCAGGTGTGAGGGGAGATATAAAGATGAACAAGACCCAGTCGGATCTCAAGGGGCTTGTCAGGAGACTGTTGGAATATTTTAAGTGTGAGATGATGAAGACTTGGAAAACCCCTTTGGAAAGAAAGGAATGAAAGTGGAGAGAACTAGTTGTACTTAGTAACTGACTGGATGGGGAAAAGAAAAACACCAAGATTTCAACTGTAAATCATGGGCAGAGGAACGGGTCTCAGGATAGGTTTGAGGAGATGGCAAGGCAGTCAGAAGCTAGGAGTTCAGTCATCAGTGAAAATATTAAATTGAAACTTAGGAAAGGGGTTAGGGCTGAAAAAGTTGATTTGTGGGTCAGTTTGCAAGAAGATCCTGGTTAAAAATCATGAAGGTAAGTGAGAACTTAGGAGAAACAGTAGGGAAAAGATTGGAGAAGTAAGCAATGAGTCTTGGGGAAATGAATTCTCTCATGTTTGAGAAGTGGGAGGAGGAAATGGAGGCAGAGAAGGAGAGAAAGAACAGCTAGAAAGGTGGGAAAACCAGGGAAGTAGAGAGTTGCAGAAGCCAACAGAGATGGGAGTTTGATAAAGGAGAGAATGGAAGTGCTAGATGCTGTAATGAGGTCAGAGGGGAAGACCCAGGTAGCAAGGAAGAAAATGTAAATCAATCTAGACTGACATAGAAAATGCGGATTAATGGCTAAGCAGAGGAGATGATTACAACATCTGTTAAAAGGCTCTGGGCTAGGTTTTTATTTGGGAGGGAATGTAATTTATTTCTAGTTTTCTTAAAATATACAATAGTATTTGAAAGTTCATGAAGAATAATAGCAGTCTCCTTTTTTTCCTCCTAGGCTTATTCCCCAGAAATAACCCCTGTCAACTCTGAGATGTTTCACTGGTATTCCTAAATAGTATGCTTATATTACCACTTCTTGATGATAAAGTTTAGACATTATCTGTTAAAAATGAGGATATGTTTCTCTTAAACCTCTATCCGCTTCCCCTTCACTTCATCTTTCACAAATAAATCATTGTATTACACATTTTAGTTAAATTAATGCTTAAGGTAATTTGGATTCTGTAAATGTTACCTATTACAGAGCCAAGTTGTGTGCCATGATCAGGTTTCCTTTTGCAAAATGTAGTCTTTTCTTTAGAGATGATAACCGCCTTTTTTTTTTTTAACCAAGCAGAATTTTCCATAGCCATATCTTTAAATCTTTATCCAGTGTGTCACAGGCCTTTAGAAAGATGATTTATCAATTTTGTTTTTACCTCCTTGAGATCTTCCAGAGCCCTCTTTCTCTTGTTCCTTTTGGACTAATTGCCTATTTTGGCCCTTTTTTCATTCTAGAATTTCCTTATATCCCATCCCCTATTAGAGTCCTTACTTTCCTGGATCCCATTTTAGCCACTCTATCTATTCGCTTTCCTGTTTTTCTCAAGCATTTCTGGTGGCTTCTTAAGATCACACGGAGAGCAATTTTTTTTTTTTAAGTTATTGCATGTTTGTCTTTATTCTTTCTTCACATACATTTGATTGGTAGTTTGGTTGGGTATAGAATTCCAATTAGAATATAGTTCTCAGTTTTGAAGCCTTTGAAGCTATATTCCTTTGGGAATATAGAAATATAGAAACACAAGAGTCACTGCTGGGTATATGAGGAAGTCATTTATAAAGCTGAGGCTGGAGTGACTATATTTAGGTTTTGTCAAAGTGGTTAACAGAGTAGGGGAGTATGGACAAAATAAAGGAAATATGCAGAGATGAGAGGCCTTGTTGCCCTAGAAAGATTGAGACTATTTTAGGTTCTGTTGGCTTTCTAGTTTCTGATGCCAGAACCTGAATCTCATGAGGGCTTTATTCTTTTATTCCTGCTTTATTATTTGTTCCTTTTAACCTATGGCAGCTTGATTGGTTTCCTCTTTCTTACAACTAAATGCTCTTTAAGACAACATCCATTTTATGTCAAATCCATCTCTGTCTCAGTGTCTATTTTTAGAAATAGAACCATATTTCTGAGAGATCTCTGATTTAGAATCAGGAAGCCTAAATTCCAGACTTCTATATGCTTTACTGGTCAGTGAGACAAATTGAACAAATCACTTTACCTCCATGTAACCCAGTCTCAGTATCAACAAAAATGGAATGGCTTACCTCAGTAAGATTTTTAAAATAAAAGACAAAACAAGATTGCTTTTGTATTCATGCTGTGAGCATTTGCCCATGGGACTGGTGGGAAATGATTGAGTAATAAGAGGTGCCTATCCAGGACCTGAAGTAACTATTTCTGTCTCCAGCTATCAACCCTGCTTACTATCTCATCTAGTGGCATGTGGGATGTCAGAGCTCACCTGTGACTGAAACAGAAAAAAAGTGACCCTGAAGGTGGATATCTGGCTTCTGGCTTCTGGCACAACACTGGTAGGTCCCACTGTCTGATGGTGTGGCTTGGTTTATGGTGAACACCAAATGAGATGATACTTCACTGACACCATCTCTCCCAGGGTCCCGTTTAAGTCTCAGTTGCTTCAAGCTGGTCTCAGGGGAACAGTCTGAAGACCTGTCCTTGCACAAAAACACTATAACCCCCTCAGCCTCTTCTGTCTTATACCACAAAGTACAGGTCAGGCTTAGTTGTTTCCCTTTCTGGTACATTGAGCTGTGGATGTGGATGCACCCTAGAATGGGAAGGGGGAAGAATTAGCCATGAAAAGCTGGGTATCTATGGCAGACTAAGTTCACTCATGTAGAAATGTCAAGGCAGAAGTGGGGGCTGCCCAATAGACATTAAACACCAACCTTTTAGAAGAGTGGTCTGTTGGCTATACCCATGTCTGAGGGAGACCTGCAATCCCAGTTATTCATTAATTCAGAAATGTTTTATTTTTTTAAAGATGTTATTTATGTATTAGAGAGAGGGAGAATTGGGAGGAGGGGTAAGGAGAGAGGGAGAAGCAGACTCCCAGCAGAGTGGGGGGCCCAACGCAGGGCTCGATCCCAGGACCCTGAGGCCATGACCTGCGTGGAGGTAGGCGGTCAACCGACAGCCACCCAGGCGCCCCAATTCAGAGAAGGTTTATATTTTATTTCTACTCTCCAAATGGAACTTGTATAGGACCTTTATTAAAGTGCTTTTATATACATCTAATCCTTGGTATAGCCCTAGAAACACGTACTATTTCTATTTTATAAACTGAGGTACATAGTGGTTAAATGGGTTGCTAAAGATATATATAATTCTTTTTTTGTTTTTTTGAGAGAGAAAGTGGAGAGGGGAGGGCCAGAGGGAGACAGCGAGAATCCTAAGCAGGCCCCACATCTAGCATGGAGCCTGATGCGGGCCTTGAACTCATGACCCTGAGATCATGACCTGAATCAAAATCAAGAGTTGGGGGATCCCTGGGTGGCGCAGTGGTTTAGCGCCTGCCTTTGGCCCAGGGCGCGATCCTGGAGACCCGGGATCGAATCCCACGTCGGGCTCCCGGTGCATGGAGCCTGCTTCTCCCTCTGCCTGTGTCTCTGCCTCTCTCTCTCTCTCATGTGACTATCATAAATAAATAAAAAAATTTTTAAAAAAAATCAAGAGTTGGACTCTTAACTGACTGAGCCACCCAGGCATCCCAAGTCGATACATATTGTAGTGTGTGGATCTCAGGCCTAGATTTCATAAATTTTGAATGTGTAAGGTCCTGAAAGAATCTTAGACTGAGGGCAGATTACCAGGCTCTTAGCAACACATAGCAGAAGCAGAATGTCTCATGGGGGAGGGCAATAGTAATAGTTTTAACAAAAAGAGGAAAGCTATGTTTTTCACCCTTTCGTTAGTGTCAAGAGGGAGTGGATCCCTTTCTTCCCCAGCAGAGAAAAAAACCTTGGGATCCATTCCTCATGAGTTCAGGATTTTCCCTGACGGCTGTCCCTGCCGTGGGGATATGTGGATGGGCGGCCTGTCCTCACCACCAAGCTGGATGTCCATAGTTGCCAGCAGAATGGCCAGGGCCAAGGAGCCTCTGCCAGTTGCCATCAGTGTCCTATACATTGTCAGCAGACACAGGAACTTGCAGGAAATGTTGACTCCAGTGATGTCCTTGGCCTCACGTTCCTGAAAGCACATGGGGACTCCTAGACAAGGCTTTCCAGGGCTCCAAGACCATCTCCACATTCCCAGTACTAGCTCAAGTTGGCTAGAGTGAGGTGGAAGAAGGCTTGGGCCTGAGAGTCCAGCTGGCATGGAAGTGAGACAGTTAATTAAGTGAGGTATACTGGAGAGAAGAAAGGAGTAAAGAGGGAAGAGACATAGGGAGACACTAAAGCCTATTTTTTCAGATTTTTTTTTCCAAATTAAGTTGGATTACTGGATCAAAGAATATGAACAGTAATTTTTTTCTATATGTATAATCACATTGCTTTCCAGAAATACAGTTGAGATTCAGATGTTCAACAAGAATGCACTGTCAGCACTGAATATTGTCTTACATTTTTGCCAATTTGATGAATAAAAAATTAGGTCTCACTGTTGTCTTATTTTGCATTTCCATGATTAGTGAGGGTGGGGATCTCTTCATACATTTATTGGTCATTAGTATTTCTTCTGTGAATTGCCTGTTCATATTCTTTGCACTTTTTTTCAAAGTCAACTTTTTAAAAAATCACTTTTCCTCTATTTAGAGATATTACCCTGTCAGACATTTTTTTTTTTAATAAATACTTTCTCTCGATTCATTGTTTGTCTCTTGAATGATGTTTTTTTCCATCAGGAAAATTCGCGTTTGTATATAGTTAAATACAGTGCATCTATCTTTTCTTTTAAGTCACCTGTGTTCTCTGTATTGCTTAAGAAAGTCTCCCTCAAGCTGGAGTTATGCTTCTCTTCCAATGTTTTTATTGTTTTACCTTTTTTTAAATTTTTATTTATTTATGATAGTCACAGAGAGAGAGAGAGAGAGAGAGAGAGAGAGAGGCAGAGACACAGGCAGAGGGAGAAGCAGGCTCCATGCAGGGAGCCCGACGTGGGATTCGATCCCGGGTCTCCAGGATCGCACCCTGGGCCAAAGGCAGGCGCCAAACCGCTGCGCCACCCAGGGATCCCCTGTTTTACCTTTTATATCTTCTAATCCTAGCTAAGAAAAATTCTTATGTCCAAAAACCCAAACTGAACCCAAAACAAAATCAAGATAACACCTGAATTTTCATCAGTTGGAAATGGTTACATAATTCCTTCATACAGTAGAATAGTATATATTAAAAAGAATGAGTTCTCTAAATATGAGCCTGAAGGGGGATCAATAATATAGAATTCTATGTCAAAAAAGGCAAATTGCAGAGCTGTGCATATAAAATAAATATTTTTATTTTTAAAAATTCTCTCTAAGTGTTTTAAAAACAAACACTTTTGTAGTTTATAAATTTGGGGGTAGGTAATTACATTCATGGAGTTCAAAGGGTAGAGGTGTACAGTTAAAAGTTTCCTTCTTACTCTCACCCCCAGTGATCTATTGCCCTTTCCCAGATTCAACTAGTGTTGCCTTATTGTGGATGCTTCTAGAGATATTCTCTGCATATTTAAGAGATTACATATTTTTCCTTTTGTGAAAAACATCAATTACAACATGAATGATAGTATACAATGCGCTATGTTCTACATTTTGCTTTTTTAACTTACCAGTTTGTCCTGTGGAGACCATTCCATATCAGAACATAAACAGCTTTCCCTCTTTAAAAACTGCTGCACAGTATTAATAATTATGTGTATTTATTCTCATGGATTCCTACCAGTGAGCGTTTTGGTTATTTCTAATTTTCTCATTGAGGTATAATTGACATACATCATATGAGTTTCAGGTATACAAGTAATGATTTGACGCTTGTATACACTGTGAAATGATCACCACGGTAAGTCTAGTCACCATCCATCACATGGAAATTTACCAAAAAAATGTTTTCTTTTGATGAGAACTTTCAAGATCCACTCTCCTGGCAACCTTCAAATGTGCACTACAGTATCATTCATTGTAGTCACCATGCTGCACACCACATCCCCATGACCTGTTCATTTCACAATTGGAAGTCTGTACCTCCAGACCCCCTTTATCTGTTTTACCCACCCCTCAGGCCCCTTTCCTCTGGCAACCACAATTCTGTTCTTATATCCATGAGTTAAGTGGAAAATATTAAAAGTGATGAAATTTAAGGGGGAAGAGTGGTTCCTGTGGATTGGGAGGCAGATAAATATAAGGAGCCCTTTTTTTTTTCCTCATTTCATACTCTTGCTTGATTTATTTTACCCTATGAATGTATTTTAATTTGAAATAATCTTTTCAAATTATAGATTTATATGCAAGAGTGTAATCTATAAAAGAAAAATTTTAGAAATGAGATTGAGGACAGGGAAAAAGCCACTGTAATTGTAGTGGCCTATTACATATCAGGTACTTTATATGCATTAAAACATTTAATCTTCACAGATATCTCCTCTTTTCAGGGAAGGATACTTTGCATTTCTTTCCTCCATAGTATTTCTTAAATTTTCCTAAACCTAGAAAACCTGGGGAAACTCTGATTCCAACTTTTGATGATTCTGTTTTCTTGGGCTTGTCTCAGGTCCTCACCTGGCCTTTTCCTTATCTGTAGGATGGGGAGGCTGTCTACTTCAGAATATTGAAAAAGCAAACCTTCAACAATACAGATCTGAATCTGACATTCTCCCCACTTAAAAGATTTCAGTGACTTCATGTAGTTGGTATTTGTCTTTCCTACTGGCTAACCACTAATATCTTTTGGTGGAACCAGCCCCACTCTTCTTTCTCTTCAGTACCTCTCTGTGAGTACTGGTAGAAAGCAGAAGGCTGATACTGTCTTCAGGAACTCAAAGGACCAGATACACTTTCTTCCTATGCTCTGAAAGCTGGGGTTGGGTTAATGAGATGTTCTCATCAGGCCTTTTTGTATCTTGAGGACATGCTGCAAAGATGAGGTGGTGGTAGAATGATACTCCCTGATGGAATTCCTTCATAGTCTAGTGCTTCCTCCCTGCACTCCCCAATCATTGTTTTAGCCAATCCAAGACACAATTCACCGAATACTCCCAAGCTATTTCACAGGTGCAAATTTCAGCCCATGTTGTCTACTCTTCCAGAGATGACTTCTGTCTCTGCCTAATAAACTCCTATTCATCCTTTAAATTCCAACTCACAGCACTGTAAGGGAAAACCACAATAAAATAAAATAGAGGTACATGGGTGACTCAGTTGGTTAAGCCCCGATTCCTGGTTTCAGCTCAGGTCATGGTCTCATGGGCTATGGGATCGAGCCCCTCCACTGAGTGGAGTCTGCTTGAAAAATTCTCTCCCTCTGCCTCTCCCTCAACTCACACTATCTTTCTCTCTGCCTTTCAAATAAATAAATAAATAAATCTTAAAAAAAAAACTAGGGGAATATAGGGAAAAAGGAAGAAAGTGAAAATTATGAACAAGAAAGAAGAAATATCATAAATGTAAGTAGAACTAAAAATGATAACATTTTTTGTTACCTTAAGCCAAAGAGTTAGAAAAGCTGAGGATCTGAGGAAATAGGTACAATAGTTCACTCTAGATGAAAATATGCCCTATAACTTTGGCTCTATCTTATAGAAATAAAAACATGAGTGTGCTGGAATATATGTACAAGAATATCTACTGCAACAGTATTTATAATACCAAAAAACTAGAAAAAGGTGAAGACCCATTAGAGAATGGTTGAATAAATTATGGCATATCCATAGTATGGAATATTTATATAAAATAAATTTATAATTATAAAATTGTATTTATAATTTATATAAATGATAAACATAGAAAACACGACATAAAAATCAGGTATTCACTTACAAAATAAACATGTGAAATTGTTAATTTTCCTAGATATAACTGTTAGAAAATATGATAGAAGAAAAAAATCCCACTGATAGTGACAATAACAACAAATTCCCATAAAATGCCCAGGAATTTAAAATGTAACAAGATTTCTATTAGGATCTATAGGATAAAACCTTTGAAGTGCTATTAAAGAACATAAAATAAAATATAAAGAAAATTATTAATTTTCCCTGTATTATCTATAAATTTGTTAAATCCTAATGAAAAATCCCAGTGATCTGGCCCCTCGTGCTGCTGCTCTAGCCATCTTGACCTCTTGTTTCCTCTCCTGTGTCGTCATACTTTCATGCTATTCCATGTCTCCACCAGAATGTCCTGCTGACTCTTGAAACGAAACATTGAATGTTTAGTGATACGCTTTTGTGTCTAGCTACAAAGTATTACTGGTTTGAAAAGGAAGATAGGGGATCCCTGGGTGGCGCAGCAGTTTGGCGCCTGCCTGTGGCTCAGGGCGCGATCCTGGAGACCTGGGATCGAATCCCATATCGGGCTCCCGATGCATGGAGCCTGCTTCTCCCTCTGCCTGTGTCTCTGCCTCTCTCTCTCTCTCTCTGTGACTATCATAAATAAATAAATTTTAAAAAAATTAAGAAAAGGAAGATAGTGAAGAATTGCAGTTATTCATTTAGCCTAGATTTGTGGTTAAAAGCATGGATTCTGGAGGCAGACTACTTGTGTCTAACCTGGTCCTGAAACTTACTAGTTGTGTGACAGACAAGTTTCTTAGGCTCCTGGGGCAGGAACTATGCTCAGCCCTTAATAAATGGGTATATTTGACAAACACTGAACAACTATGATGTGTCAGACACCATAGTGCACAGAAAGGTGACTAAAACAGAGGCAGACTATCTCAGTGGTTCTCTGCAGCCTCTAGGTCAGAAGGACAGGTATGTAATCTGGCTTTGGCACTTACTAGCTGCTTAATGTTAAGCAAGTTTCTCAACCTCTCTGAAAAGCAGCTTACTGAGCTATAAAATAATGATAATATTCTCTTTCCAGGGTTCTTTGGGTTAAAGGAGGCAACCTATAAAAACTACTTACATGATATAATGTCAATATAGTGGCTGGTGTAGAGTAAGAGCTCAGTAAATGTTAGCTATGATTATTTTTATGCTTCCTCATATTTGAGGCAATTTGTGGTGTCCCAAACACATTCATATCCACAATTGTGTTTAGTTCTTATAAAACACAGCTACTAGAGTTATTTTAAAAACTGTCACTTTTCCCAAGCATATGGAAGCTTAGACATTGTGAGTAGCTTAAAATCACAGCTTCTAAGTGAAGGAGCTAGGATTCTAACTCCCAAGTTATGCAGGTCTTTCTCTTGGAGATTCATGTCTTTTGTCCCTCATTTCTCACAGCCATCCAGCTATTCAGGAACACTTGCAATTCAAGGAGGGCTGTGATAACAATAATATAGTCATACAGCATATCGAGGAATAGGAAAAGAGAAATTCTGAAAGTTGCAAGACGGGGGTGCAGTTGGGCCTTGACAGATGTTTGCTAGCCTGTGGTGAGGTGAGGTGGGGAATGGGCTGGGGAGATTTGGCTTCCAGTCCCGGCTGTGCAGTACCTAGCTGTGAGATGTTGGGAAGGTCTTGTTCCTTCTCCAGGCGTGTCTTCTGAGGGACTGGTGCAGCGGGATGGGAGGGGGCGGGGTAAGGACTGCTTCCAAGAAGTGAGCTGCACGGTGGCGGGGCAGGCTCACGGTTGCTGAGGCAGGAGTGGCCGGGCTTCGCGGTACCCGGGGCCGAGCTGTG